GCTGCCTTCATGGGCCTTGGAACAAATGTCCTCATCCGCCACTTCACTGGAGGAAGTCTTTACATGTTTGGAGTAGACCCCCCTCCCATTCACTGAAGGGTTTGTGGCCCTTCAATTACCCTCATCCTGGTTCAGCCCACCTGAAGAGATGGTTTACCAGGGTGTGGGTGCTTTACCAGGGTGCCTTCTAGTCTTGGAGCCACAGGTAAGAGTTGGGTGAATCATGTGGACAAGAAACCCTGAAAAGGACTCGGCAAGCTCTCACACCAGAGGTGCTAGTCTTCCTGAACACCCCATATACCTATCTAACCCACTGGAGAAGGAAATGACAAACAATTCCAGTATCTTTGCCAAGAAAACCCCAAGCACAGCATCATCTACAGGTCATGAAGAGTCATACGTGACTAAACAGCAATGGTTTGGGCAACTTTGTGGAAAGCTGATGATGACCATGAATAAGATGACCATCTTGGGATCATTGTTATTCACATGCTCATTTGAATGATCCTTCCACTCTCTCTGGGAAGATGACTTCTGTTAACTAGATCAACTTTGACCCCTTAGAACCCAAAATCATTTAGTTCCCAAGGGCATACTTTTTGTGTGATATGTAATAGTTGCACCATTTTCTTTGACATCCTCCTCTTCCTGCCTCTGGTAAAGCCTAGAAACTATACACTTCCCCCTGGTGGTTGCTGTAGCTCTCTGTGTTTCACATTTCTTTTAATGGAGGCAATTACTAAAGAAACAGAAATAAGAGGATGAAAAAGAGTAGCAGTATTTAAAGGCATGTTCCAAAGGAACATAGGCAGATGATCCGTTAAGCAGGAAAGCATGAATTGAGCTGAGAGGAAAAGGACTGGGTTCGAGTCCTGGCCCTACCAATAGTGAACTGTGTTCCCTTAACCTTAGCTGAGGCTTACATGTGCTTCAGTTTTGTTTTCCCCCACAAAAATAGACATAATAATACTTGCTTCACCTACCTTCTAGGGTTTTTTGGAGGATTAAATAAGATACCAGAAGTGAAAGCACTTTAAAAAGTTAAATGTGCCATATACACATTTGCTATGATAAACCCATACTTCTAACCAAAAAAATAACGTGAGCTATGGCATCACTGACATGTACAGCATTGTACATGTGATTTTTATAACAGCTGCAGCTCTACATGAGAGGCTGAATACAAAATGTTAACAGTTTTAATGCTCCTGTTGGCACACAGTACTCTATTTTTAGCAAACCCAATTAAACAGCCTTGTTTCAGGATTGGTGATTATGGCTTTTAATTTCCACCTGAGTCTCATTCGCTCTTCAATCCCTCCTTATTCACATTATTATTGTAAAATAGTCCTAGAGGAGGCACCAGAGTCCTCCTTTAATATCTGTTTTAATCACCTAGCTGTAATGAAGAGAGGTTGTCAGAAATAAAGATAAGAGAAAAGGCAAATCAGAGAAGTTAGAACTACAAATCCTTTGAAATCATCTAGTACACTCCCCTCATTTACAAATAAGGAAATTAAGGCTCAGAAATGTTAAACAGTTAGAACTAAGGCTCAAACCCAGGTCTTAGCTCCAAATCCAATATTCTTCCTAACCCACCATACTTTAAGAGACACCAAAGGATGTCGGGCTACATGTAAGCTATCTCTACGTCATAATTATTTACAGCGACTGTTACTGTGGTACTAAGGTTCTTTGGATGCATGGAATCCATGATGAAATTAGTAGAACATTCTCCTTTGGTTTAAATTACAGTTAGAGGAAGTTTATTTGTTAAGCTGGTACAGTAAAAAGGGCACAGAATAAGGAAGAGGAAGAGCAAGTTATTTGTGTAACCTTGGCCAATTGCTTCCCCTAGCTGGATTTATTTCCTCATCTACCAAAAGGAGTGGGTTAAACTTTAATCTATCATCTAAAGTAGCACTTCTAATTTCCTCTTCTTTCTTGGCTTTGTACCCTGAGATGGGTACCCAGAGGCTAGGTACTATTGTCATGTCTTGAGTACCCCGAGGGCCTATACTCCTCCCTCCAAACTTGCTTCCCTCTAACCGATTGGCTGGTAGGCACAATAAGGTCAAAGCAAAGACATTTTCTAAGATGGCACAGTAGAGCAGTAGCTACAAAACATTTTCCTCATAAATCTGGAATGCACTGTCCCACAAATACACACAGCATACATTGGAAGAGCTAACACAAACAGAATACGATAGTAATGAGGCACATATACCGGGAACATACATGAGCAAAGCAATTCATGCCCCCCAGTACCGTAGGGCCTTGCTGTTCTTTCTCTCCTCATGGGATCCTGATGCTGCTTCCCTGGAAGCACAAGGTTTCTACTGGGCGGGTCACTCAGCTGGGCTCCCAGGGTCCACTCCTGGCCACAGTTTGACTCTTGTAATGATTGCCAGAGCTAGCTCTTTATTGGGTCCGTGTCCAGCTCTCTTTTCTGTCGTCTCCCGCCTCAAGTTACTAAACTCCACTCCTTCCCTGTGGCCATGTCTGTCCAGAAAGTGTGATGCCTCTGCTTCCTGGCAGATGCAATCCTTCTCACTGGGTAAGTCACTCCACACAAAACGTTATAGTCAATGGGCTACCAACCACATTATTTTCTGAAATTACACCTGTCTTTACACTAAGTTTATCACCTTGTTATTTGTGATTACATCCTGGGCTGGGGCAAATCAGTTGGTCATGAGTGAGACAATGTAAACAGTGTGAGATCTCTCAGACGGACTGAGTGTAACAGTTTTGTAGACTGTTAGAAACACAAGGTGGTAACGCTAGCCTGAATAAGCCCAAGTTTCAAGTTCCTAGAAAACACATGATCTGTACTGTTACATTAGTATTAGGTAATGCCTAATGCTAAATAAGGATAAAATAGCTAGGATTGGTAGTATTATAATGAGATTCCTTGTTTCTGGGGTAGATTTTCACGTTTTAGATTGTAAGGCTGAAATTCCTGTCCAATGGAAATTTACAGCCAGTGGTGGGTGGGTGTCTCTGAGTTAGGACTACCTAACCTTTGTTCTGACCTTTGTGCCTCACCTGGCTTCACTTCGACTGCCAGACGAAGCAGACGCCCACTTCTCATGAGAACGTAATAAATCTTTCACTTTATACCTAGAAAACTGGGTAACTGTAGCATACAGGCAGGGACCAACTCCCTATTTTTCACTAATAATGCCACAACTTAAGGAGTTTTTAAAAAAACACCTATATGGGGGCAGTTAGGTAGTGCAGGGGCTGGAGGATCTGAGTTCAAATGCGACCTCAGACACATAACACTCACTAGCTGTGTGACTCTGGGCAAGTCACTTAACACCAACTACCTCACCAAAATAAATAAACAAAAATAAAAACATCTGTATGCAAGCTACTTTGTCTTCACCAAAACAACAACAACAACGAAAAAACCCATTAAAGTTTCTGCCCTCCAGAAGCTTCTATACCATTGGTGATATACTATGCTTACAGATGAATAAATACAGAATATAGAGAAAGTAATTTGGTGGGGAAAGAGCACCAACAACCCTACCATGATCAGGAAAGATCTTGTCTGGGAAGATGTGGCACCCAAGCTGAGCCTTGAAGGAATCTCGTAGTTCCCAGAGGTATTAGATATTGATATAAAGATAGAGATATAGATATGTGTGTATGTATATACACACATATATAATATATACCTTATGATATAAGGTATTCATTAAAACATACAAAGTACTTTTTATTTATTTGCCAACAAAAATCTGACCTCTCATTGACCTTATCACTGTCCTATGAGATGCTTCTTAGATGCAAGGGATTCAAATCCTGCCTGATATTTATTATTTCTGTGACCTGGGCAACTCACTTAACCTTTCTAGACTTCTGTTTCCTCACGTGTAAAAAAAGGGGATGATACTAGATGGCCTCTGAGGTCCTTTCCAGCTCCATATCTATGATATTATGATGATGATGCTTGTGGGGTTTTAATCATCACTCCCCTTTTATATAGCAGGGACTAAGATACAGAGAAGGAATGACTTGCCCTTCCCTTGTATGGTAAGGTGATTTGTCAAGCTGGAGTACAGTCAGCCATTCTCTATGCTGCATAAAGATACTTTAACCTAAGATCCTGCTCTCCTGATTGGAGAGTCCCACCATGGAACGCCATTTCATGAGGGGCCCAGGTCATACTTCTTTTATTCCCAGCTCTACTCACTCCCTTTACCATTTCACTAGCAGCCTTCCCCCCTTTATATGTCATCATCCCCCATTAGAATATAAGCTCCTTGGGGGCAGCTATGTGCCACAGTAGATAGAGCACCGGCCCTGAAGTCAGGAGGACCTGAGTTCAAATCTGGCCTCAGACCAAACACTTGACACTTACTAGCTGTGTGACCCCGGGCAAGTCACTTAACCCCAATTGCCTAAAAGAAAAAAAAAAGAATATAAGCTCCTTAGGACCTTTCTGAGAGAAGGAACTAATTAGTTATATTCCTATCCTTGGTGTTTAGCACAGTGCCTGACACAGTAAATGCTTAATAGATGCTTGCTCTATTTATCTAATCTGTCTATCTAACCATCTGTCATCTATCATCCATCCATTTGTCTCCTATCTAAATATCTATCATTTATCCATCTATCATCTATCCATTTGGCCATCCATTTTTCTATGCATTTATCCATTTGTATGTCTGTCTCCCATCCATCCATCCATCCATCCACCCATCCATCCATCCATCCATCCATCCATCCATCCATCCATCCATCCATCCATCCATCCATCCATCCATCCATCCATCCATCCATCCATCCATCCATCCAATTGTCTGCCTGTCTTCAGGAAGCCCCTGCCTACGTCACCGCTTCCCTCATCATTTCCCAGAACCCTCAGCGCCCCGCGGGCCTATTCTCAGGCTCTACCCCGGAGAGCTTCGCTAGGGGGCGGGATTTCGTCTCTCTCCCTGTTTCCGGCTCCCCAGGCGACAGTCACTCGGGGACACCTACGTCAGCCGTCGCCCAGATCTCGCGAGGTTACGTCCTCCCGGAAGTGGCTGGCCGCCGTGACCGAGGGGCGCCGCCGGCACCGCGATGTGTGGGGACTGTGTGGAGAAGGAATACCCGAATCGGGTGAGCCGCAGGGCGTGGGGGCTTCCCCGGACCCCCTGGCCTGGAGCCCCGACAGCTCCGACTCTGTAGACGGGGAAGGAAGGGCTGCCCGAGGTGCGAGCGTAAAAGCAGAGCCCTCCGGCCCCTGGAAGGCGGGATGGGCGGCCCCGGGCGGGCTGACGTTGGTGTCTCCGGGCCCCCGCCCTTTGCCCTGGCGGTGCCCGGCAGGCGCAGGCCCGCAGTGGAGCCGAGTCATCTGATCGAGCTCCTGGGGTTTTCTCTCGGCCTTCAAAGGCCCCTTTTCCATTCATTAAGTATGTAACCAGGCGTTCTGACAACTCATTCATTCAGGGTTTTTTTCCCCCTAAATATATTTTTTTCAACAACTGAACCAGATTTCCCAACAGAGTTTTCCCTTAATTTCTTTTTTCAGTCAACGAAAATCCGCCTCTCTTCCCTACTCCTTTTGATTGTTTTGGTTTGGTTTTCGGTGAGGCAGTTGGGGTTCCTGCCCCTTTTGAGAAAGAAAGAAAGAAAAACAGAATCCTTCCTACAGACACGTGTAGGCAAGCAAGGCAAACCCCTTCGTTGGCCGTGTTCAGAAAGCCCGAGTCCGTTACCTGTCGGGAGGGAGACAGTGTGTTTGATCCCAAGACCTCTAGATTCCAGATTGAGACACATAGTAGGCACTATGCCTGTTCCTTTCTCCTTATGATAGAAAATAACCAGTGATATTTGCGCTGTCTGCCTCACAGGGCTATTGTGAGGAAAGTGCTTTGTAAACCTTAAAGCACTGTAGAAATACGAGTTATTAAAGATGAGAAGTGGTAAAACATAAAATATTAAAGCATTGGACATGAAAAATGTTTTAATCCCTTTGCCGCAAATGTCTTATGTAGCCATTTTGTGTGATTTTTTTTATGCCCATATTTTTCTGTTTAAAGAGATTTCATTAGGAGTGTACCCTATTTTGAGGAATCTTATGTTTGGACCAGTACAGCACTTTATTAAATCTAGAAGGATATCCAGAGATAATTGTGACTCCTTGCTGCCTTAGGGCAAAGAACATCAAATAAGGATTCAAAAGATCTGAGTTATAATCTCATCTCTGCTATTAGTAAATGTGAATTTAGCCAAATCTGCCTAAATCTCAGTCTCCTACTATGCAAAATAGGATAATATATACTCTGCCTACCAGCTGTTTTGTTATGAGAATCAGATGAGAATGTATAGGAAAGTCCTTTGTAAACTACAAAAGGTTCATTTATACAACATAAGTAGAAACTTCTCTGGGCTTCAATTTTTTCAACTGTAAAATAAGGGTTTGGACTCAATCTATGATCCTATGACCCTCCCGAGGAACAGATATATTATGCCCTTGAAACAACTTAATATCAGCATAAGGCTGATTATGTCCTAGAAAAGAGTAATAGTCAATATATGCTATAGGAGTTCAGAAAGGGAGATCAATGTGGACTTCTCTTTTAGAGAGTCTTTTCGATAGTTGAAGGAGAAAAGAGCATTCTAGGGCAAAATGGTACAGTGGAAAGAGTGCTGGGAATGGGTTCATATCTTAACTCTGTCACTGTCTATGTGATCTTGGTCAAGTTATTTAACCTCTATGGGCTTCAATTTCCTGATCTGTAGTATATTACCTCAAAAGTCCCTCTAGCTTTAAATAAATGATTTTATGACCTTATGAACATAAGCAGAAATCAGGAGATGGGCAAAGAACCCACCTTTCCAGAGACTTCATTTTGCACTTCCTTATGCACCACATGTCCTGGCCAAACTGGTCCATGTGCTGTTCCTTATACATGATACTCTATTTTCCACTTCTGTAGCATTGCACAGGCTGCCCTACCCCATGTTTGAAATGCCCTACTTTCTCACCTCTAAGCCTTGGGATCACTAATTGCTTTCAAGATTCAGCTTGTGTGCCTTCCAAAGTCTTTACTGATTCCCTTCTCCTCCCAGCTACTCTGCATCACCAGTGTCTACCTAAGTGCTTTGATTGTAGTAGGCATTTTATAAATGCTTGTTGAATTGAATCACAAACTCAAATAAATGTTTGTTGAGGAAACAACAACTGGGTACGGGCAGAACACTGCTAGGTCCTAAGGGAAATACAAAGTTTTAGATGGGACACAGAATTTCAGAGTTGGAAGGGACCTCAGTACCCACCATCTAGTCCAACTCATACCTGAAAAAGAATACACTCTCTAACATATCTGACAAGTAGTCATCCAGCCTTTGCTTTGAAGAACTCCACTGAAGGGGAACACACTTCCTCCTTAGGCAACCCATTTCACTTTTGTATAGTTCTAACTGTTTCAAAATTTTTCCTCATGCTGAGCCAAAATGTGCTTCTTTGCAACTTTAATTAGTCAACCTGGGGTGGATGAGGTGTTCAAGGAGGACCAGCACCTCTGGTGTAAGAGCTTTCCAAGTCCTTTTCAGGACTGTGCATCTTGGGTATCCACGTGGCACTTAAAACTCACACCTGTGGCTCCAAGAAACGGTAGCACCCACATCCCAGTAAACCATCTCAGCAGACAGGCTAAATTAGATTGAGGGTAACTGACAGGCCACAAACCCATCAGTGAGTTAGCAGGTGTTTACCCCAAGCATGTGCAGACTTCCCCCAGCAGAATGGGCAGATGAGAACAATTTGTTCCAAAGGCCATAAGGCAGCTGAAGCAGGTGTGGAGTGCTTAGAACTTAGACATCAAAGACAAACATCATCTTCTGCATTCTGGGTCATCACCAATCATCCTGATTTTTGTCCTGCCACTGGACTTTGATGACTCAGGAAGAAAGAGCAAAGCTGATGACTTTGGGCAGGGCTTCCTCACTTAAATCCAATTGACCCTCAAGTCAAGACATCACCCAGTGATGTCAATGCCCCTCTTCAAAAATGAAGGACAGACAACAATAGCAGGTGAAATTGATCTGATTTCCTTACTTCCCAATTCCACTCAGCAGACATGAAGTAGGAGCAGATAAATTAGATGCCACCATCTGACATTACCCAAAAATAAAGTTTTAAAGGTAGGGAATGACAAAGTGAGGCGTGTAAGGTATTCTAGAGTAGTTGCTAGTAAAACATTACAGTGGCAAACCATGGAATTAAGGCTGGGTATGGTGGCACAAAAGCAGACTTTGAAATTATGATGTCAGGGCACCTAAGATCAAGAGAAGGGCATGGGGTTGGAGAGATAGAATGGAGGCTGTGGTAAGGGAATTTCAAAGTACTAAATCTTGACAGCTGAGAAAAAAGCCATTGAATTTAACAAGTGGGTTATACAGGACTGAGTAGCATAGTTTCAAAAGAGTAATGAAGGGGTTAAAGGAGGTGCATGTTGAGGAAATAGAAGGAGCAGACATAAATTGCTCATATATAATAGATGGCTAGTATTAGAGGAAAGAAGGAAGGGAAGAAGGAAAGACAGTGACTTGATGGGAATAGGGAGTTGTATCAAGGGAAAGTGTTATGATAAAAGAGACCTAGTTGTACATGTAAAGGTGAAAGGGAAGAAATCGGTAGGGAGGGAAAGAATGAAAATGTTAGCTAGGGAGGGGTTAATGGAAAGTTCCAAATCTGGTATATGTAGGTAGTTGCTAGTTCAGACTGCCAATATGTACAATATTTAGATGTTTCTCTTTTGGATATGTACAGATGTCTGGAGGTTTGTGGTGGGTGCATTTCACAGACAAGCAACAAACTGGCTTGAATTCATTGCAGATGGTGATGTATTTACGAGTTCTTGAACAGAATCATGAACCAAACATGAGAATGGACAGTATTAGTTTGCCAAACCCATTTTTTTTTTGGTACTGAACTCAGAAACAAACTTTTCTTCCCCCAGAAGTTACCTAGTGAACTAGTTTGAAAGAGAACTGAATCTAATTTTGCTATTTTCTAAAACTGTTGTATTAGCACATAATTTGGAACTACAAAATCTTTTCCAAAGTAACACAGAATTATGCCATTTGTGTCCATTCTTTGGTCTAAACTGTTCAGCAGTATAAGAACATTCACTAAAATCTCATTAATTTTAACTAAATAGAGGAGAAGTCGGTCTTAGTCAATGAAAAGTTACTTTACATGTAAAAAATATTTTAATAGTTTTATTACTTTTATATTCTCCACATGCATTAAGTTATATTAGGCTGTTTCTGCATTCAAACTGTAGTCTAATAAAATTCCTTAAAATATCTGTAAATGACTCTCAGTACTTAAATACTCAAATGTTTTGCTTAAAATTTATTATCAAACAGCTATTCCTATTGTTATATCTTCCAAGCAATCCTGAGAGATTATGATGTACAGATGGGAGACAGAGTTTATAAAGTGACATTTTATTCAAATAATTTTTGCACCATAGGGTCTTATACTGGGTACTTTTTAAAAATCTGTTTTCGTAAATCCTTTAAACGTTCACACCATTCTCGTTTATAGTGTTGCAATTTGCACTGTCTGTATAGAAACATTTGCTCAACCAAGTAAATTCAGTACAGTGCCTTTCAGAATTACCACAAATTCCTGAAATTAATTTTGCTGTCATATATCATGAATTGTGTCAGTTCTCACAACATTTTTCCTGGGTCAGGAGAGAGAGAGTCATTACTCACGGCACATGCGTATACATATTTTTTCAAATGCCAGTCACAACTTACCTATATTTCCCAAAGATACTTATTTATTTTTCAACATTATCCACTTGTTTCTGGTAATATTTTGAAGCTGTTGTTGTAGTAGGCTACATATTATTGTGGAATTGGCGTATTCTTTTTTTCTCCCGGTATAAAGAAGCTCTGTAATATTGCATATGTAAATCCACATTCTCAGAAGTCTGATGATTGCGACTATTCATCATATAGGAGACTCATTGACAAAGGTCCCTTGTAGCTTATCTTTACTGCTTTCAGTGATATGGGGCTCAAAAGCCAAGTCCGGAATCTGTATGGTACATTTGTAAATTTAGCTATTCCAAGCACTCGTTTTTTTCATAACACTA